AGGCTCAGTCGGGGGGCCAGTTCTCCTCTGGCCAGACGAAACCAGCATGGCGTGGTTTAATTCCAGGCTGAAACACAGGTGCAGAGGTCTTGTCTGGTTCCCGTGGTCTTGTGCCGATGGTCGTCGAGGTGACGAGGTCTTCGTAAGGGATCTGTCTCTGGGGCGCATCTAGTTGACACGGTCTCTGCCGACATTCAGGGCTGAAGAGGTTGTCTCTAGGTGCTGATCCACCATCTGGACTGGATACGGACTGGATCTGGGTGGCTACGGTGACCTCGGAATAAGAATGAAAGAGACTAATATTAGCGTAGATGCCATTCTTCTTATGATGTAACGAGTACATCGGATGTTATGGGAAGTGTTCCCAGTTCTGGTTGACCTAATGAATGCAGCCTAACAATCCTTTAACGGATTTGAATTATAGAAATGTGATAGTGTGTTATGTGTATGCCAGGTTAAAGAGATGGGTCTTTAATCTAGATTTAAAGGTTTCTGTCTCCTAATTTAGTTCCTCATTAGTTTCCATGGTTTTTGATTAATTAGCTCCACACCTGTTTCAGTTTTCCCTAGTAAAACTGATCGGGCAGACCAAACCGTAAGTGGTTGAGACTTGAAACTTGGAGCAGTACTCACACCGCTCAATCTTTGGTCAAATTAAAGAAGAAATTGCGGAGCTTGGCCACTTGGTGGCGCTATAAGAGGGAAAAACATAAAAATAGCTATAACTACGTAACCATTTGTCCAATCAACATGAAAATGGGTATGCACTGTCTTGGTCCAAACTGCCACAAGTGTCTATAATGACATTTGCATATCTTAAAAAACATGTCCGCCATTGGCCAATGAATTTTGAGCACTAATTAGACACGGTTAATGGAGGTCAATCAGAACGAAACTCAATGGGCCTGTTTGACTCATGGTCCTAAAGGTCCATTTTTCAAGGGTATGAACCATTGTATATTGCACGGTTCTTGACAGACACACAATATTCGATACGAATATTGTGTGTCTGTGTCAAGAACAGACAGCACTAGTATTTGTAAATGGCCAAGGGTCCCTTAATTATTTATACTAATTGTGGCAAATTTAGCAATAGAGCTGAAACAAACTATTATTTTAATAATCAATTAATCTAACGATTATTAGAATGATTTATCAAAGAATTATCAATTATTTCACTGATTAATTGGTAGGCTTTAACTAATTATTCTGCTTTTATTGCACAGCAAAGTTGTTCACTTTATTAGTTAAAGTCAGTATTGCCACTGTGAAGAACTGTGGATGACAGGTGATTCTGAACAAGCAAGCAATGTTTTATGGAGATTGGACCACAGCTGGTGCTAGAACAGTCATAACTGTTAAAAATCATCATATTTCTATGGCAAATTACCTGGAATTTCCCCCCAATTTTTTTTTTTAATTATTGATTTAGGTGGTTACAGGCATGATAAATAATATGTATTGTCTTTTTTCATATGTGCTTAAATGCCTTAAAGCTCTTGAACCCCGATAATCGCTGCCTGCAGCTATATTCCTATTTGTTTTCCCCGTGCTTGATAAATTTTGCTTGTGTGATGTGAACATATGTATAAGCATTTGGGAAGGCACTGCCACCTAATGGCTATTCTAATTTTAAATCAACACCGGCCTTGGAGTCT